GATTGAGGTATGACCCCAAAGGCCTACCCTCAGTAGCAAGGCCTACCCCAGCTAGCAAGACCTCACAACCACCCTACGCAGCTGGAGACCTATGGGACAAATTCCACATCTAACTTTTGACAGCCCCTGACTCTGCTTTCGCTCTGTTCCTTCTGAGTGAAAAGGAAGCATTTAGTGAGCTGTGTGGTGTTTTCATTACTATGGCTGTTCAGGGTGTTTCGACGTCCTAAGAGAGAAACAAGAGTAGCTCTGCCAATAGTAGTGGTGCAACCTTCTAGGAAGGCTGAAGCAGGAGGAGTGCAAGTTCCCTGGTCTACACAGGAGGACCTTGTCTCAGCAAGAGTCCAGCTTTGATTTTGACAGAAGGGTTTGGGAGATTTGATGGTAAAACTCAGCCCACAGAAGCCACAAAAGCTCTGCATACCAGGACTCTCCTCTGGGACAGACTTTAGATTAAACCAAACTAGCAAATTGACCAATTGTCCTGAATTATGGGTGGTGGCATTTCTGAAATGGTACCTGACACAGGCAGAGAGGGAAATTTGTTTTAAGTTGCCAATCTGTGTGTGTGTGTGTGTGTGTGTGTGTGTGTGTGTGTGTGTGTGTGTAAGCCAGAGATCAACAGTGATGTCAAGCATAATCCTCCATCAATTAGCTGTCTCACTTTTTGAGATAAGGTCTGGAGTCTGGAGCTTGCCCATTGGGCTAAACTGGTTGGCCAGGGAGCCCCAAGCATCCCAGAGGAGGAATTTTTCTAACTGATTCTTTTAAATCAGTTTGGATAGCTCTAGTGTGGAGGTAAGAGAGCTGGATGAAACTCCTCCAGCTGCCAGAGGAGCATTGCAGGGCCATTTTCAAAGTGTCCCAGAGAGAATAGCATCCAGGGTTATAATGAGCCCTCAGCAACACAGAGACTGCCAAGAATAGCTCCAGGCATCTGAAGGGTAACATCATCCTGCCTCCTGAGGCTTCTTGGTTCAGCTATATCCATGCCTCACAGAGCACACTTTAGACTGAGACCACTCAGATTGAGCTCATGGGAAGTGCATGTGATTGCACCAGGTTACACTCGACATGCATGGGAATCAGGCTGTGAAGCCACAGCATCAAAAGCAGCTCAGAAATACCTGGGTCACAACAGCAGTGAAATATCACAGTCCTGGGCTGAGACTAAATAAAGGAGGCTGCTGAATGTTTCTGAAGGGCATGCAAGCAGCTTTGTTCAAGGAAAAGGCATTTACCCAGTGGCACAGCCACATCGCCTGGCTGGAAAATATAATCTATTTAAATGGGGGTACCCAGGATGTGATGAGGCACCATCTCATCCCATCATTCATCCATAAACACTGTCAGCCATACTGCATACTTATCTGAAGTCATTTGTCCTTCTTCACAAAACAGCTATTGACAATGTGGAAAGAGGACATGAAAGCCCATTTCCCCTGAACCTCTCACAGCACAATAGAAAGGCTAAGTCCAAATTGTCAGGTTTAAATTTTGGAAATCACTTGTTTCTTTCCTTGTCAGTTTACTCCTTCTGTAACAGTGTGTGCATGGGAAAATGATGCTGGATGGATGCTATTAGATAATGAGACATAAAGCTCCATTGGCCACCTAACCCCCATCTATGTATCACCTATCTATATCTATCATCTACCTGTTACTTATCTATAACTGTTATATATCTACATAGCTGCCATTTATCTACCAGCTATTATTTGTCTGTATTTATCCAACATCTATCACTTATTTATATATCCAAGTGTGTCTATATCTATCAATTTATCTAATATCTGTATGTAATATCTATATGTATCTATCATCTCTCTATACTTATCATCTATCTATATAATCAATCATTTGTCTATACCTATCAATCTGTTATCTATATATCATAGCTATCTATTCATTACCTATCATATACATCACATTCTATCTGTCCTGCCATCTGTCCATCAGCCATCTATCATGACTAAGTGAATTTTATAAATGGAAAGTTGGATTGCAGAAATCCCATATCTGGAATGTATAGACTCCAGGGATAAGGATAGTCTCTCTCCCCTCCCTTCTCCTCTCCTCGTTCCTCTTTCACTCTTTATCCTACTGGGAAGCTCCTGTTAATTATATCCATGCTCATCCATGGCAAAGAGTGAGAAAACAGCATGTAATATCTGCCCTGTTGGAATTAGGAGTCCTGGAGTGAGAGACTGTGTTTAAAGAAGGAACAAGCTCTTGGTTAGACTGTTATGCAGATTCAGTTACTAGTGTGCTGCTGTGGGGTATTTATTAGTAGGGTGATGGTGAGGGAGAACTCTGATCACTTTGCCAAAGAGAAACCCAAGATGGCCTATTTGGTGCCACAACCACCGTGAGCCAGACAGCATATAAGCCTATTGTCTTCATGGCCAGCATGTGGAGACCCTGGACGATGGGCCAGTTCCCAAAGCTAGTTTTACATTATAGGCTGCTCTGTGCTCTGTGAATTCAGGGATCTCTAACACCCCAGTCCAGCTTGGCTGGTGGTGACCATCAGAGCTATCACATCCTCTCTTGAGGCTTTGGGACATGAGACAGGCAGCAGAAGGAGTCATGGAATGAAGACAAAGAGGATTGCCCGAGAGGAAGCACTGGAAGCCGACAGCATCCCCAGTCCTGCTGGTGGCCTACAGAGACCATTGCATGTTGTAGCCTGTCTTTGTGGGACTTCATTTGGATCCAGCCGATTTGCCCAGTTCACACCTGATAGGGGGAGTGTGGATTGAGAAACAGCAGGTAAAGTCACTAAGAGAAAGATAGAGACACGGGATAGAGTCAAGAGGGCAATCCAGTGAATACTGAATGCCCCAAGTTTATTCTTCAACATTCTTAAGTACCCCCAACCAAACAGAGAACATGGCAAAAGACTTCTTTATCATGTGTAAGAAAGAAACAGACTGTCTTCCTTTAATCCTCCAAACATTTGGTAACCACACCTTAGACTCAATTTCCCATTATCTGGCCTTGAGGGTCAAGAGTAACCACACTTCAGACCAAGTCTGTTGTTATTTAGGTAAGACATCCACTATCAAGATCAAAACATCCTGCAGTAGTCATGCCTTAGACCTTTAGGTCTTATGACTTACTAAGGACAGTTTTGATTGAACTTTCTGACCTTGATCCAAGATGACGCGGAGCCATCTTTATGGGCCCTGACAATTGCATATGCAGAGTCATATATCATCCTTCAGAGTGTCACAGGAGACGGTTGACTTAGATAGAATTATTTCTTTCAGAGAGAACAGTTTTGTTTTTGGCTCCTTTCTTATTCCACCTCATTGTGTGCCCCTTTCAACACTATGGCCACAGCACTCCAGTTTTTCTAGTAGCTTTGTTAATGTACTGTGAAAGACTGAGGTTTTGAATATGAAGGATATGTGATGTTAATATATAAATTATTGCGACCGATGGCAGAACAGTTCGTGAATCTGGCAAGATACTGAACTTGATATCTTCAGGAAGATTTGCCTGAAGTTTCAAGCTGGAAAGTTACAAGACTGTGTAGCAAAGAACGAGAAGCTACAAAGCTTTCTTGTATTCAGAATTGTAGGCAGGACTGGGAATGCAGTTCAGAGGTGCTTGATCAGCATGTGTGAGGCCCTGGACTCAATCCCCAGCACTGGAATCAAATAATAGCAGTAAACACGCCTACTATTAAAAATCATTGTGCATGATGATTTTTGACATTGACAATACACAATTGATCCTGACATCTGCATATTGCCCCTCAGCATAGCTGGAAAAAAAAATCATGATACCTCATTATATGGCCTTTGAGACAGGGTGATTCAGCACTCCCAATCTTGTGTTGGAAGCTCAGAAGGTTCCTGGAGCCACTGGTCCCTAGTCGGCTAAGAATGCTTGGGAACACTTGCTCTGATGTCAGCAAAGAAATCAGCAGCAGCAACAGGGCAAATTAACTGTCTTACAAAAGGAAGGCCAAGGAGCAAAAGCCAGATAGATCTTTCTCGCCACACACACTCTTTTCATCAGGACTGCTACCAGAAGGTACCACCCATGTTCAGGGTCACCAGGACACTTCTCCAGGTGAAGCTCCATAGTCAGGTGGTTCTAATTTGTGGCAAGTTAACATTAAAAACAGTCACAAGTGCTGGAGAGATCGCTCAGCAGTTGAGAGCACTTCTGGAGAACCTGGGTTCAATTCCCAGCACCCATGGAGTGGCTCACAACAATCTGTAATCCCAGCTCCAGGAGTGTGATGCCTTCTTCTTGGCAACATGCATGAACATGGTACATAGATGTACATGGAGGCAAAACACCCATATATATAAAATAAATAAATCTCTAAATAAAATAAAACCGACTGTGATACAAAGGATATTGCATGACAGTAGAAATAAGCGAACATCACCAGCAATGATAACAAAAGGCCATTGGTGGGGGGTGTCCCAAGACATTTAAAGGACCTTAGGGAGAAATTGAGGAAATCAGGGTAAATTATAAACTTTAGCACAAAATAATATGTTTGTATTGGTTGATCCATTGTAGCAAATTAGCAACAAATTAGTGTGTTTTAAGATACTTTACTCCCGGCCGACCTGATCCATAACGAGAGCCCTCATCCAGTAGCTGATGGAAGCAGAGACAGACATCCACAGATATACACTGAGCTGAAATCTGGAATTTAGTTGAAGAGAGGGAGGAATGAAGAGCAAAGGGGTCTGTACCAGGTTGGAGAAACCCACAGAAACAATTGGCCTGAACAAGGGAGAGCACATCAACCCCAGATGCTGTCTGGGAAGTCAGTACAAGACTGATCCAGACCCCTGAACATGGATGTCAATAAGGAGGCCTCTGCACTCCAGGGAGCCTCTGGTAGTGGATTAGTATTTTTCCCTGGTGTAAGAAGGGACTTTGAGAGGCCATCCCACATGAAGGGTGCACTCTTGGCCTGGACACATGGGGAAGGGCCCAGGCCCAGCTCAGGAAGATTTGGTGGACTTTGCAGAAGAAACAAGCTTGTTCCCTAACTTGAACTAATAAAAAAAAAAAATTAAAAAAAAGATACATTACTCCCAAACATGGCACTGTAGCATCTGAGAAGACAGTAGAAGCAGGAATCATGGCCCCTTTCGTGCCTTTCACCCCTAAACCAGAGCATCAAGACTTTGAAGGGCATAGTGGTTAATCTTCATTGTCAGGCTGATTGGATCAGGAAGAAACTAAGACTTGTGCTTCTGGGTGGGTCTGTGGGGGAGGGATTTCCAGACAGGAGTAAATGGGAGGGGGAGCCCCCCCACCCCCACCCCCAAGTGGGCAGCAGTTTCCAGCCAGAGGAAAAGGTTTGCCTGCCTTCCCTTCTTGCTCATGAGTACATCCACCCTGTTGATGGCCACTGCTGCCATTCTTCTTCTGGCATCAGAACACAGCTTCCTTGGCCCTCCAATGTGGACTGCAGACCCGTGGCTCTGCAGGAACCAACCCTCCAGGGAAAGACTGGAACTGTAGACTGAGCAGCAAACATTACTCAGCCTCTCTAGCACAGAGCCAAACATTGTTGAACTACCCAGCCCATACTGTGTAAAACAATCTAATAAATCCCCTAGTAGTATAGGTTCATCCTCCCACTAGAGAACCCTGAGTAACAAAGTGAGGTACTCTGAGACTCCCCTTAAAGAGATAGTTTCCCTGTACCTCAGAGACAGACAACCTCCTCAGAAAAGTCTACACAGGCCTCCTTAAGTTCCCCAGGTTTATTACTGCTAGACCCAACTTACTTTCACTTTCTAGGGGGCTGGGAGCAGGGTCTCACACTGTATCTCGGGTTGATCTGGAACTCAGGGGAATCTTCTTGCCCTGGTCTTCCCAGTGCTGGGGCCACATGAGCTTCCTTTTTCTCATCACATCTGAAACACACAGGTTTAACCATGACAATAAAGGTTTCCCCAGGGGAAACATAATTGACTCCTTTGCCACCACAAAAGGAGACAGATTTTCATTTATTAAGCAATTCGTGCTGACATTGCTGGTTGCCTCTGTATGTGTCCACTCTTGGGAGTTTTCATTTTAATTAGTTGTAACCTGTTACTGTTTCTCAGATTAAAGACTATGTAAAATAAACCCTTTGGTATGTGTTTGTTTTTTTTATTAGTATAAGAGCTGTAATGTTACCATTTAAGAAGCAGTCTTTAACAATATTAAAATACGGGATAACATACTAAATAAGTGGTTTACAGTAATCAAAAATAGAGCTTATTTATGAAGATCATTTAAAAATATTTATGTGTATGAGTGTTTTGCCTGGCTGTATGTCTGTGTACCACATGTGTTCCTGGTGCCCAAAGAGGTCAGAAGAGGGCATCAGATCCCCTGAAAACAGGGTTATAAATGGTTGTGAGCCTCCATGTGGGTGCTGCGAATTGAACCCAAGTCCTCTGCAAGAGCAACAAGTGCTCTTACCCATCAACAAGTACTGAGCCATTTCTCTCCTTCCATAAATGCCTTCATTGTTGTTGCTATTGTTACGTTTTGTTTTGTTTTGTTTTGTTTTGTTTTGTTTTGAGACAGGGTTTCTCCGTGTCTTCGGAGGCTGTGCTGGAACTTGCTCTAGGCTGGCCTCAAACTCACAGAGATCTGCCTGCCTCTGCCTCCTGAGTGCTGGAATTAAAGGCGTGCGCTACCACCGCCCGGCTGTTGTTACTTTTTGAGATGGGTCGGACACTGTACCCAGACTGGTCAGGAACTCCCCATCTTCTGCCTCAGCTTCGTTGATTCTGGAATTATAGATGTGTCACTATCCCTATCTCTCATTTTTAACCTCTTGGTTTCCCCTACAAGAAACTTGGGCTTTTTCTTGACATTTAAGGACACCACGTTGAATATATCTACCTCATGTTCTTCCATGAAAAGTGGAAAATACACGAGAATATTCTAAAGAGAACAGGACATGTTCTATATTATGCCATGCTTATACAAGTATAAAAACTCACCGAGCTAACTTTAAAATCTTTTTTGTGTTTGTGTTAATCATATTAGAAGAAAGAATGAAGGATGGGACAGAGGGGAGGATGGGGGTGGGGGGACAGGGAAGAAGAGGGCAGTCTCATCAAAGAATTCTGAAGGTTGTCAGTGACTAAAACATGGGTGCTCCACAGGGAAAGGGTGAGGGAGGTCGGAGTGTAACTGACTGACACAGCACATGCTTTGCATGTGAGAAGCCTTGGGTTCTGTCTCCAGTTTGCACATGTGTGATTCAGTAAGCCAGAAATGTTTTGTTTTGTGGAAGAGAGGTTCTGATATGAAAAGGGGGAAAGCAAGGAAAATTCCTATAAGCTCAATTTGAAGCCTGGAATGATATATGAACTCAAGAATAATTTAAATGAATGGTATAACCCCCAACACAACACACACACACACACACACACACACACACACACACACACACACACACACGGCCACACACATACATGCACGCATGCACATGCATGCACACATACTCCTCCACTAGCCACCAAACTCCAGCTTTTTTTTTTTCCTGCAGGCAGTGAGGAGGTATGCAGGTGAGCCACCCCACATCCTGATAAGGCTGCCTTGGTGATGGATGAGATGCAAGGGAGCTGGGTGTGTGTGGCTTCCCAGGGACAGTGCAGGAGATAATTGGAGATGTGCATAACCATGGCCTGAGTGTGTGTTATTTTTAACATCCCCACAGGAGGGAAGAGCTTTGCTCCAGTTGCCAAGAAAATTGTGTTCTGAGTGATTTTGAAAGTCTTGGAAGAAATCAAGAAACTTCACAAGCCAATCTAGCTTGTGTGCTTGGACTATCCACCTGAGGACACGTGGTCATTTTTCTCTCTGGACATACATAGTGCCTTTGTGGCGCCCTGTGGGATGCTGGCTGGTAGGTGGAAGATCCTACTGCCTTATCAGGTGGCACTGAAGGAGGGCATTGGAACAGGTGCGACACCTTGGAGCCAATGGAAGTGCCAGGGCCCAGGGAGTGGTGTGGACAGACCTAGGATCCTGCTTTCCCAAAGCACATCAAAGTCTTCATCAAGATCCTGCAAATCCCTGTGTCCCCGAGCTTTGGAGGCTCCATGTGCTTCATCCCTGGGCCACTAAGGAAAGAGCCCCCAAATTGCCCTCAGCTTTGGACACAGGCCTGGGTGCAGCTGGCCAAATTGAGGTGTAGCTGGAGCTGTAGCTTTCCCCGACCTCCATCAGCACCTTCTCTATTCAGTGGTCTTGACCTAAATCTGATGTCAAATACTGATAAACACAGCTTCACACTCAGTACAGTGCAAGAATGTACCTCTGCATTCCTGACCTATTTCAATTTCAAATTCAGGATGCCACCTCAGGAACAGAGAGCCTCTTTTGATTGCTTATCAGTGTTTTCTAGAAGTAATAGGTATAGGAAAGATGAGGCTGCCTTATACTTGGCTGAGTAAATAGGAATGTTGGGCAAAAACTGCCCCTTTCTCTATCACATTCCAGTGCTAGTCCAAATATCTCCTACTACAACATAGAAGGGCCAACAATAGCTCTCCAATTCCCTGCTTACTGCTATGCATGTCACAGGGGCCAAAGCTAGTCCAACCTCCTCCAGGATAGAGCAAATATAGGCCAAGGATAGCCTAGCCTTCCCAATTGCAAGACAAAGATGCCAAGGCTAGCCCCAGTCTTACCCAGTGAATATCAATAGAGCCTTCAGCAATTGTTCAAACCTGCAAACCTCCCATTTCTTTGGTATCCCTTCACAAACAGGGGACAAACACCACACATTTGACAGAACTTGACTGTACTGTGATGATGGTGAAACAGCCAAGAAGATGAAGATGCTGTCCTCAGATGGGTACCTCAGCGTAGTATGGAAGATGCTATCCTCTGGCAAGTAGACACCTCAGAGGGGCAGAGCCTCATGCTCTGCCATGCCCAATTCAGTTTCTCCCACTGGGGTTATGGTTTGAATAGTTAATCCTGCAGTAACAACCAGTTAGCTCAGATTCCTTTTGCCACACTGAACACTCTTCAGACTTCACTGGTGACTGAAAGGCCACCAGATCCCTAGAGCCCCTGACCGCTATAGCTCCCTGTTCTGTCCCTGTGGTCCTTTGAAGGCCTTAATTTACCTCTGTGGCCTCAGCTTCCATGAAATCACCTTTCACCGTTGAAAGGCACGGAGGTGGACACTGACAAAGCCTGTGTGACAGTGACATGTAGGAGAGAGAGGTCTCCATCTTCATGCCCCTCCATATCTTCTGAGTGGGAGGTTCTTAGTGTCCAGCAAGGCAAACAGACATCCATTTCCCATTCATGTTCCCAGGTCCTAGCAAGCACCAGAGAGAAGATAGAGCCAAGGCTCATCAGCACAGTACCTCTAAGGCCTCCACCTGTCTCCTAAAAGGTAGGCATGGCTGTCCCTGAGCAGCAGCCAACAGCAGCTATTCCCTAAGGAGATTGGATGAGCGGTAGATGACCTGTAGGTAGAGAGGGCAGAATGTTCCGGGAGTGAGGGAAGCAGCGCTCTCCTCCTACTGCCCCTACATGGGCTCTAGGCACTGGAAGTAGTAACTTCATGGTGACTTCTGTGCATTCCTCCAGACTACATATAAGATTGTATATTGGCCACTGGTAGCAGCCAGTATAGGGATGTTCTTCAAAGAAGTTCAAGTTGACCACACATCGAGGGCCAGGGAAAAAGACATGGCACTCTGGCCACCCTGAATTTGGAAAGATAATTTCTTCAGTCTAAATAGGACAGGTGTATCACCCTCATTGCCATCACCACCACCATCAACACTGCCTCCATCACCACCTCCACCATCTCACCACCACTGACCACAGCATCACTGCCACCACCACCAGGAGCATCATCACCTCCATCACCACTGTCACTGCCATCACCACCACTGTAAGGATTCAGGCAGTATGCTGGCCTGCCCTGTCACCTGGCAGAATGCACTCAGGCAGATAGGGTTCCGTGGTTGCTGTAGACTACACACAGGTGCAAAGGAATCCTTTAAGAGAAAGACCCCTGCCCACTTACGCTATCTCTCTTTCCCGCTCCGCTCTTTCCCGCTGTTCCCCTTAGGCAGACAGGGCTTTTCCTGTCTCCCTCGTCTCGTCAGTCCTCTCTCTGTCTGTGTCTCTATGCCTCTTTACCTTTTTCTTTTTCCTTCCCCCTCCCTCCCCTTTGTAATAAAACTTCTCAATTAAGCTCTGTGTGCCTGGAATGTTTGTCCCCCACCTCGGTCAACCTCGACCGGCATGGAATCCACCAAGGTCCCCACACAAGGTCCCCCATCCGCTTTACCAAAGCAATCACTTCCTCTCCATCGCCACTACCATCATCCATGTCTTAACCCCACCATCTACATTTCCACTTTGGTCACCATTATCTTTACACCTTCACCATCATCATCATCACCCTCACCATGTCCCTCTCACCATCTCTCCTGGAAAGCTTCTTATGGTGACCCCACCCACCTGGTAGCCAAGGTCCCCAGCACAGAGCAGAGGAAACTTGACTTCATGGGTTCTGAACAGTGACCCTTGAAGGGTGTTCCGAGTGCAAGTCTGTGTTCCCTTGTGTTTTGCTTTGACTTCTTCTTCCTTCTAGGTTGTCTTTTCCTGTGGTGAGGAACAAGAGTTGGAAAGAATGAACTGGAGATACCTGAAGACTCAGCCTGCCTCCAAGTTTTTTGTTGCGTTTGGTCTGGATGTGAGTGAGGAGGAGTCTCATGGCACATGTTCGGTGGGGCAATAAATCAAATGAAATGATGTGTCAGGCAGTTATCAAAGCAGAAGGGGCTACAACTGGATACTAATAAAGCTTTTATCCTAGAAGAACACATTTAATCAAAATGTTGGTCGGTAGAGGAATTACAGTGACTGGGTGGAGCTCCTGCCCCAAAGAGGTTTGTCTGTGTAGCCAGAAAGCATGGGGCAGGAGGTGGGGAGCTTGACACTGTTAGACCCCCGAAAACTCAAGTATCCGGGGTCTCAGGCCAGGTTCGCGAAAAGACGGCTCCTACGGGCTCCCAAAAGATCTTATAGGGCAGCGTAAGGGGAGTGTCTAGGGGTACGCACAGGCTTAAGCACAGGCTCATGATTGGTGTGCCTCCAGGCTTGGAGGGCTTGCCCTGTGTTGATTGGTCAACTGGTTGTTATGGCCCATAGGCCCTCCCAGGGTGGTTGCTATGCTCTCTACGTCATTGTCGTGGGCTTGTCCGTAAAGCACACCCAGGGTCGTAAAGCTTAGCGCCACCAGGTAACTTCTGATTGGCTCCCTGTCACGAGACAGGCATCTGACTTTCTAGTGTCTAGGTCAAGGTCATAGAAGCACATGTTCGACCATTATGGCTGCCAAAAGGGAAGCCGGTTCCTTCAACACAAAATGAAGGCTCCTGGCAGTGAGGGACACCACAGGGTGGCAGGTGAGTGGTGTCCCTCTAAGTAGCAGATCGGGACTAGGACTTCAGATGAGTGTTTGCATCTCCACATCCAGGAGAGCAGGGTGACGTGGGACTGGTTAGAACAGAGGCAGAGGCAGGAGAAGGCGAGGCAGTGGCAGTGACCAGGACTCTGGTCCCAAGAGGAGGGGCTGACATAGAATCACTCAACCATATCTGTTTATCCCAGGAGGCGGGAGGGGAGTGGGGAATGCAGAGCGAGCGGAAAGGAGCATTGTCTGCTGCTAACCTGCGTGTCACTTGTGTAATGCCTGTACATGTGGCAAGACCACTTCAGTGAGGAACTGTTTTCTGGAATTTCCTTTTCAGAACAAACTTGCCAGATTGAAAGCGGAACCTTGTGTTTGCTGCTATGTCATTCACCAGGGGGGCTGTGAACTTGTGTGTTCTGTCTCACCAGCAATGGGGGAGAAACAAAGCTCCCCTGTGTTGTTTAATATGCACCCTGACTGCCTCTCTCCTGGGTGTGGCACCTGCCACTTGTCACCAGAAAGGGCCACCAGGAGAGGAAGAATTAGGACTTCAGAGCTGATGCATGCCATTCATGCTGACCTGCTTTGAACCGACCCTCCCCCCCCCACCCCGAGACTTCTGGGCAGGAGGTGGGGAGCTTGACACAAAATGAAGGCTCCTGGAAAGCTTTTTAGGAAGTCTATAATTCAGTGGCTTTTAGTATATTTACAGAGTTGAGGAACTGTCAGCAAAACCAGTCCAAGAATGTTTTTGTCATCCCCAGAGAAATCCTCACCTTCTAGCAATGCCCTACACCTTCTCGATGTGGTCTCCTCCACCCCCAACCCCCAGCAGTGCTCATCTATTTTTGTCTGTATATTTGCCTGCTTTATGTTTTGCACAGATGGGATCACATCCCGGGCTCTCTTCTCTGTCTTTCATTTAGCATTGTGTTTTTGTTATTTTTCCCTCATTCCTCACATGGTGCTGGAAATGGAACCCATGTGCTAGCCCAGTGCTCTACACCCTAGCTACACACCCAGTCTAAGCAAGGACCAGAGAGTGCAAAAAGTAGGTGGCTTAGGGGTTGTGTTATAAGAGCAGACTCCGCCTACTGTGAATTGAAGGTCACTTCTCCCCTTCAGTGTCCCCTCTGAGCGAAGTCTCCTAAGGTATGTACGGATCGTTTGTTTATTTGATTCCAAATTCTAGAGTCCAATTCTGCTTCCCTCTGGCCTGCTCTGCCCTCCATGTGGGCACCCATGTGTTTCTCAGGCTCCTGCAGCCTGCTGTGGCCTCTGGCCTGCTGCACCCAAAAGGACATCTCCTTTCTCTCATCACTTCTGTCTCTTGTCCCCCAGGAGCTGCAGTCCTGCCTTGAGCAGCCTGATCCAGGAGCTGCAGTCCCGACTGGGGCAGTCTGGAACTCTTTTTTTTTTTTTCCTTGCTTCCTCCCACTTGGAGCTACCTGCTCTATCCCTCTTTGTGCCTTCAGGGGCCTATACTTTGCTAATTTCCTTGCCTTCCCCTTAGGAGCTGTTTGCCCTGCTTCTCAGTTCCTGTTTGTTCCTCCTTGTCCCTTAACCATTCCTCTCCTTGTCCTACTCCGTAAGTGTCTCTCTGGATCCATCTTCTACACCCTTAGGGATCCCATCACATGGGCAAAGTTCTCTGTCAGCTCTGGCCTCCTACACCTAAAAGGGCCTCTCTACTAAAGACACTATTGGCTCCCTCCCCTCCCCTGCACTCCCCTGGCTGTCTCTGGCTCCAGTCGGCAGATCCCTAGCTTCAGCTCAGCTCCTCTTGGAGCTTATAGGAACATATCCGAATGGTGTTCTGTTGTGCAACCCCCCCCCCTTCCTCCAGGGACTCAGGTTTTATTTTATTTCAGCCTGGCCTCATGACAGAACAATGGCCAAAAATGGACAAAGTTGATTTCCAAAATCTCACAAATCAAAATGATCCCCAAATTGCTTATATCTAAACTTGTTCTGCTCTACACCTTCTCTACTTTCCACTCCTAAAAAGCTTTTGCTCTGTGATTTCTCTGTGCCCTGCTCTCAGAAAATCTCTTAAGATTATGCTGTAAACTCTTACTTCAGGATTTTTAACAAAATTTGGCTTTAAATTTATAAAAAAAGACTTGTAATTAAAAAATCTACACATAGGTATATGCATGTGATTCAACTGTTGTTTAGTGTGTGTGTGTGTGTGTGTGTGTGTGTGTGTGTGTGTGTAACTTGTATTCAACTCTCATTAAAAAAATAATAATTCTACTAGGAAAACATGTTTTTAAGGAGCAACTATGTGGCTCTCCTTCCTGTTGGCTGATGACTTCATCAGGGTGTAAGCAGTCATTTGGCTGGTGGCTATCTCTACTAAGGTTAAAGAACTTGCATGCTATGTGACTTCACCATCTTAAGATGTCATAAAACAACAATTGTAAAACTTCTTAGTCCTAATGAGCTCTCTGTTTTTCATTGTATCTCCTTTTTATACTAAGGAAGCAACAAGTCTCAAATATTTTGGATTGGTATATACTTTTGTATGATGGTAAAAAATTAAGGTTATATTTGCTACAACATACTAAATATGTGCTTCAACTCTGGTTTAGAATATATTATATATGGAGATAAGATGTTAAGGTTATAAAAGTCTACTCAGATTAACAAAAGCTAACTTAGAGATTTATCTAAGTTTTGGATTTAGCTAACTACTAATGTCTTTGCTAATTGTTCAACACCAGCCTGCTAGAAAATTTAGATAAGTAACAAAATATGTTTGCTAAATAAATATATTTAATAATCAAGATATATAAATTCCTAAGGTCTACTCAGGTTCACAGTAATATTTGTCTAACTTCTCTGTCTTTGCTCACTTTAGGCTTTAGTTATTTGGATAAATTAAGTCATACAAAACATCAGTGTTCTAGACCAGGCAGTGGTGGTACAATCCTTTAGTCCCAGAACTCGGGAGGCAGAGGCAGGCAGATCTCTGTGAGTTTGAAACAAGCCTGGTCTATAAGAGCTAGTTCCAGGACAGCCTCCAAAGCCACAGAGAAACCCTGTCTCAACCACCCCCCAAAAACAAAACAAAACAAAATGTCAGTGTTCTATAATGGTAAACTATAAAAGAATCAGTAAGCTTGCCAGTCTCCCTATGAACTGTAATTAGGATTAAAAATTTTATTTTGATACTGAAGGAACCGGCTTCCCTTTTGGCAGCCATAAAAGCCGAACACGCGCTTGGCAT